GTACTGCTTTCCATAATCTTAACCACAACTACATACTGCAATACTGCCACTTCTCACATCAACAATATAAGCAGAGCTAGCCACGAGCACAGGGAGCCACTAATGTATATCACTTCAGCATACAAAGAGCCTCTCATGGCACCAGGCCAACAAGACCAGTGTATTTCTGTGCCTGTATACAGTGGGCAGAGGCAGAATAGATGGCAAAACAACCTGACAATCCCCTGCTGCTTTATTTACACCTCAGATTTGTTGTAAAACAATGTCTGGGGACAGACTGAGCTCAAAACTAGACATTTCTGAGCCCTGTACTCTGGAGCTGGGCTACCTCCTGCATGTTTTCAGTTTTTTCTTTTACGGAGGGGAAAGGAGAAGCATGCACTGAGTGAACTGACTGTGTTCCCCTAACAAAATTATCAGTTCACATGTTAGTGCTGTGTTCCCTCATCCCGCACTTGAACACGTTAGAAAAATTCCAACGGAAGATGTTCAGGGAGCTATCTCCATCTAAAGGCTAATAAGCTGAACTACAATATACGGCCACTTGCCTTATAACCACGAGGAAAACCACTGCACCTACTGCTACAGATTTTCACTTACTCTGTTGCTGAGAACAGTGTAGGTTGAGCTGAAATAAAAAAATAAAAAATATTTCATACTCCTCAGCAAGATTGACTCATATAAAGTCCATCTCTTTGTATATATTTTTCTAATTTATCACTAGAGCTTTATTAGTAACATGATTCACCCTGACTTTATGAATATTATTTCAATGCACTTGCACTTACTTTAAGCAAAGTTGATAGTAGTATGAACTGCTGCTTATTTAAAAACACAGAAGTCAAAGAATTAATATTCTGCAGGAATATTGGAGATTTATACATGTGAATGATTTTCTTTTCTAACTTTTCTAAAAGACAAGCTCCTCCAATCATGTACAGCCTTCTAAAACATGAAAAAAGTACCTGATTTCTAGAAGATCCTGACTTTGTGCTCAACTTAACATGTACGGCTAAAATATGATTCTTCCCCTGGTAACTTCTCCAGGTCTCTATAATAAAATAATAACAGAATAAACCAGGTTGGTTAATTTAAAACTTAATTTTAAATATGTTTACTTTAAAAAGCAACTACTACAAATGTAGTATTATTAAGCAGTATGGACTTTCTGTTCCAGCTACAAGGAAAGCCAAGCTGCTGAATAATTAATCTTGGTTTGCTTAAGTGTTAAACCACTTTTTGACAAGCATCATTTTTTTCTGCAAGCCAGTATTTTCTTTGTTTTTATTCAACTAGCTCACTTAAATTAGTTCTCCTAGCTGAGGTATTTTTCATTATTTCCATCCATAAATAAAATAGGGATGGAAAGGACAGGATGATATCTACTAGATCTACATACTTCAAAGAATGAGTGATCAAACCAATTAAAACCTCCTCCTACAAGTATACTTCCTTTTTTTTTTTATAAAACCTTCTTCAGTGCAAAAGGTTCTTAGATAAACTTCTTAAGAAGAAGGTTCAAATACATGATAGTCATCTTTTTTATCTAAAAGCAACTGTATGGAGTTTTTATCTCATGTTTTCCTTTCAATTCCCGTATTTATCCGCTAGGAGTTTGATACGAATCCCAAGTAAAAGCGTAATAATTATCTAGTAAAAAAGAAATGAAACAGTCATCTTCTAAAATAGTCAAATGTAAGTAAAAATTTGGAATCCATATAAATGTTATGATAAGGTCTGAAATGTCTCAGATGTATGTAGATGTAGCATATCCTCTTTGTTAGCAAAAAGAAATACTACATTATGCATAAAGACTATCATCAGTACATTTTAATGGTTACCAATCAGTGAAAAATCAGTCTTTAAGAAAAAATACAGCTGTAATTCAAGATTAAAAGCAATCATTTAAATCAAAGTTTCCCGTTCACTGATTTGATTCATTCTCATTGTGGCTGATTTAAACCACTCCTCTAATATATGCTGCTTTTTACCTATTCTGAGCTAAAAAAAAATATTTCTTTCTGCTTTTGAAACAAAATACTGCTGCCAGACTCCTCTCTTTCTCTAGTTTCAGTCACACATTTACTTCTGTAAACAGAGTTACGTCCCTTTACTTCCTAACCCATACCATGGACTCCCTCTGTCCACCTTTTACTGACATCAATGTACTTGCAGTCAAACAGCTGCCTCAGTTCCCTGATCCGGCTGAAATAAATTTGTTGAAAACAACAACAAATTACTTTTCATGGACAGTCTAGGCATGAGAAGAGTGAGCTGGACCAAGCCTGGGAAAGCTTGTAACAGTCGTGTGGTGGGCTGATCGTGGCCCACCAAAGCCACTCTGTCACTCCTGCCCTCCTCAGTTGGACCAGGGAGAGAGAATAGAACAAAAAGCTCATAGGATGAGATAAAGACAAGGAGACTCAGCAGTTAACATCACAGGCAAACCAGACTCAATTTGGAGAAATTAGTTTAATTTATTACCATTCAAAATCAGAGCAGGATAATGAGAAAATAAAAAATAAATCTCAAAACACCTTCCCCCCACCCCTTCCTTCTTTCTGGGCTTCACTTTACTCCTGATTTTCTCTACATCATCCTCCAGTGGTGCAGTGGGACACTGGAGTGAGGGTTGTGGTCAGTTCCTCAGATGTTGTCTCCTCATATTCTTCCCCTGCTTTAGCATGGGGTCCTTTCAATGGGACACAGTCCTTCAAGAACTTAGCCAATGTTACTCCTTCCCACGGACTGCAGTTCTTCACAAACTTCTCCAGAGTTGGTTCTTTCCATGGGGTGTAGTCCTTCAGGAACAGACTTCTCCAGCATGAGTCCCACACGGCATCACAATTCTTGCCAGCAAACCCGCTCCTGTGTGGGCTACTCTCTCTGCACGGCTCCACAGGTCCTGCCAAAAGCCTGCTCCAGCGTTAGCTTTGCATGGGGTGAGAGCCTCCTTCAGGCATCATAGAATCGTCTAGGTTGGAAGAGACCCTTGGGATCATCGAGTCCAACCATCTACCCTACTCTACAAAGTCAGGCATGGGGTCCTCCATAGGCTGCAGGGGAATCTCTGCTCCAGTGCCTGGAGCACCTCCTCCTCATCCTTCTTCACTGACCTTGGTGTCTGCAGAGTTGTTTCTCTCAGACATTCTCACCCCTCTCTCCCGGCTGCTGTTGTGCAGCAACTTCTCCCCCTTCTTAAACATGTTATCACAGAGGCACTACCACAGTCGTTGAAACGTTATCTATAGCAATATCCTATACCCATTTGAACCAATTACTCATGTTTCATCTTTATACAACTACATTGCCAGGCAAACGCAATGTTAGTACAAAGAAACTGGGGAAAGAGTACACTTTTTAGGTACAATGTAACTGTTCATGTTATCTAGTTATATCCTATAGCCATTTGAACCCAATTACTCATGTTTCATCTTTATACAACTAAAGACATTCTTTTAAAGTTTGATAAGGATCTGGCCTGGCCCTACACCAGAGTCAAAACCTTCATCATCTTCTTCCTCTATTTTCTCTTTCCCACCTTCTCCCTCTCCTGTGCTAGTCTTGGTGCAGCAAGCGCACAACGAAATGGTTTGAAGACCTGATCTCACTGAAAAATATTTCAGGGGAACGCTTGGCTGTCAGGCGGGTCAGTTTCCTCCGTGTGCTTCACCATCTGGCACACGGAGGCACCACCAGCTGAAACGTGTGCTGTACAGTAACTCTGGAAAATCTGAGGCCAGTTAGGGACAAATGACTTGCGCTTGATTGGTTTTTTTTAGCTTAGTGTCTTCAAAAGTACTGTTCACGTGATAACTTCTACCAAACACGCACAGAAAAGGTAGATTGAGTTGCACCTTAGCACATAAACCTAATGGTTTATGTAACTTCTTATTTTATTTCAACCCAAAGTGTTCATTTCGGACAGAAAAAATCTCATAAAGGACTAATAGGTGCAAATAGGTGACCTAAAAAGATTTTTTGTCTAACCAGACCCCACTTCTGTTTGTTTTTTTTACACTGTATCAGGCTTTATCACCATTATTAATATGTATGCTAGCTAGTTTGAAGTATTTATTAATTTTAATAATTCCCCCTAAACACTTTGGATTGATCATGTCGTCAACTCAATGACTAGTTCCTCACCTCCATTAGCATTTAATTTAGAAAAAAAAAAAAATTCGAATTTGCTACCCACTTCCTTACACTTCTCACAAGCTTCCCGCTACTGATTTACAGACGTTTCATGCATTTCTTCGTGCCTGTTATAGGTATGAAGACTATTACTGAACTGACTGTTGCTGAAAGTGCCCCCACACACCGAAGGCACAGTCTAACGATTCTTCCTTCTGGCAGCAAAGCCCCTCTCCTGTCCCACACTTGTCCTTCCGGACCATCAACTCATTAAAAAAAAAATATTACCTGTCAGAAAAAGTCTCAAAAACGCTTCCTGTTGCTTCTCCGAGTCGGGGGAGTGCTTACAACTAGCCTATGCTGCTGGAAGAAGGGGTGCCCTGAGGCGGTAGCGCCTCTGAGGCGGGGCCGCCATTTTCCCTCCCGCCCGTGGCGGCGGCGGGCGCGAGCACTAGGACCTTCTGGGGAGGGGAGAGACATTCCCTGGGCTGTACCACTGCCTGTCGCTTGCGGGGTAGGGACATGAGCGGAATCCCGCTCGCCTCAGCGCCATCCGGCTCCTCAAAGCCTCCCGGCGACGAAGCCCCAGAGAAACAGCCCCGCTCAAAAGGCCGCTCTCTCCTCCGGCGCCCGGGCGTTCTCCCCGGCCCGCCTCTTGTCCTCCCCTCTGCGGCAAATGGTACGGGCCCTAGCAGCCCGCACAGGTGCCGCCGGTGGGACAAACCAACAGCGTGGCGGGGGGGGGAAAGCCGTGAGGGCGGGTGCTCCCTCCCTCGCGCGTGCGGCCAAGAGTGATGAGAAGGCGGCGAAGCGGGAGGGCGAGACCTCGGGACGGGGCCGGCAGCGGCCGCATCATCGGGGAGCGACGCCAGCGGGGCGGCCGCCGCGGGAGATTGAAGAGCCGGCGAGGCGAAGAGGGGGCGGTGCTGCCGCTAGCAGCCGTTTCCCGGGGGGAGGAGAAGAGGAAGAAAAGGAGGGGGCCGCCCGCCCGCCCCTCGGCCGGTAAGTGCCCGTGAGGGGGGGGTGAAGGGAGCAGGCCCCTCAAGGCGGGGAGCCTCGGCCTCACAGCCCCGGCGGGTGGTTGTGTGGCCGCCGAACAAGCTGGACGCCGGTGGGTCTGGGTTTGTAGGCCGAGGGGGCCGCGCCTGCCTCCTCACCCCCTCCCGGTGCTTGTCTCCGGCCTGTACCGAATGGCCCAGGCCCGGGGGAGGCGGCGGCTCCTGGTGAACCGGCCCTGTCTGAAGCTGAGGAAGAGCGGGCGGGAAGCTGAGTGAAAATGGGTGAAAACTGGGCTGTCTCCTCTCTCTCCGAGGTTGCAGTTGGCACCCCCTCCCGGTGCTTGTCTCCGGCCTGTACCGAATGGCCCAGGCCCGGGGGAGGCGGCGGCTCCTGGTGAACCGGCCCTGTCTGAAGCTGAGGAAGAGCGGGCGGGAAGCTGAGTGAAAATGGGTGAAAACTGGGCTGTCTCCTCTCTCTCCGAGGTTGCAGTTGGATGAGCAGGCGGGTGGTTGTGTGGCCGCCGAACAAGCTGGACGCCGGTGGGTCTGGGTTTGTAGGCCGAGGGGGCCGCGCCTGCCTCCTCACCCCCTCCCGGTGCTTGTCTCCGGCCTGTACCGAATGGCCCAGGCCCGGGGGAGGCGGCGGCTCCTGGTGAACCGGCCCTGTCTGAAGCTGAGGAAGAGCGGGCGGGAAGCTGAGTGAAAATGGGTGAAAACTGGGCTGTCTCCTCTCTCTCCGAGGTTGCAGTTGGATGAGCAAAGGCTGCTTTCCCTTTCCTTTCCTTTCCCCCTTCCCCTTTGCTGGCCCAGGTGCTGGCATGGGCAGGCCCTGAACTGAATCACCAAACGAATCTTGGTTGAAAAAAATAAAGTTGTGGGGTGTGTTTTGGAATTTTTAAATTTTTTTCTTTTTTTCTTTTTTTTTTTTTTTACACGTACAGCTCTAGACATAAGATTTCAATCAAGCTGCTTTCAAATAAATAAGAAAATCAAATTAAGATAGCAAATTTTAAACAGCTAAATGGCAAGCAGTTCAGGGATTTTACTTTTCTGACAGCTATGTCCAAGCCTAATTTTTTTTTTTTCCAATTAATATGGAACATTCTCAAAGCTGCAGCATCAGACCTGAAATAAGGCAGTTTTAGTCTTGCTGATTGGTAGCTAAGAAATCAGTTAGTCTCTCAGTTTCGATTTTTCTTGCTGGCAGAGATCCCAGGGAATTTGCTGTAGTTTCCAACTCCTTTCTGGCAAACCTGGGCTCCTGTTAGGAAAAGGGGGTCTGATACTGCCTGTGCTGAGCTGCTGTAGAGCACTGCTCACAGCCTGACGAGTAACTTTTGCTTATTCAATCAGTTACTATATACAGATTTCAGCTCAAGTCACCACCCTCCCTGGTCTTATTACCACTGGTTGAAAGTAAAAATTCAGGGTTTTCATTCCTTCTGTCCTCGCCTCTCTTTCTTGCATCTGCATTTGTTCATTTAAGCTAAGAAGTAACCGGTAGCATTTTATTTATCACTAGTGCTACTGAGAGCCTTGTAGCTCTTCCTTCTAGGTAAGTCACACAATCACCACAACAACTTTGGAAAGCTTCCTTTTGTGTCACGTTTTGTGCACAGAAATCTTCTCCAGCAATGTTTAGTCAGGCAACCGTAATAACAATGTTTGGTGCTTCTTACCCACTTGAGTGGTATACAAATAAAAAGTACTATATTAAAAGAATTGAATGGCTATGGCTTTTAAAAATCCCTTTTAATTAAGCCCCCTTTTACTATCCCAGTTTTATTTCCATCTTCCTTTCCTGCAAGTGGATGGATTTAAAAAATATTGTTACAATATTTGATTCAAGGATTGGAGCATCTCTCTTATGAGGAAAGGCTGAGAGAGCTGGGACTCTTTAGTCTGGAGAAGAGAAGGCTGAGGGGAGACCTTATCAATGCCTATAAGTACCTAAAGGGTGGGTTGAAGGAGGAGGGAGCCAGACTCATTTCAGCAGTTCCCAGTGAGAGGACGAGGGGTAACGGGCATAAACTGGACCATGGGAAGTTCCATTGAAATATAAGGAAGAACTTCTTTGGGGTGAGGGTCACAGAGCCCTGGAACAGGCTGCCCAGGGAGGTCGTGGAGTCCCCTTCTCTGGAGATTTTCAAGACCCACCTGGATGCAGTCCTGAGTGACATGCTCTAGCTCTAGGCAATCCTGCTTCGGCAGGGAAGTTGGACTAGATGATGTCTATGGTCCCTTCCAACTCTAAAAAATTCAGTGAAATTCAGTGAAATCTAATCTGTTGGGGGAGAGAAGGGGGGAAACCCTATATACAGATTTCAGCTCAAGTCACCACCCTCCCTGGTCTTATTACCACTGGTTGAAAGTAAAAATTCAGGGTTTTCATTCCTTCTGTCCTCGCCTCTCTTTCTTGCATCTGCATTTGTTCATTTAAGCTAAGAAGTAACCGGTAGCATTTTATTTATCACTAGTGCTACTGAGAGCCTTGTAGCTCTTCCTTCTAGGTAAGTCACACAATCACCACAGTTTAAAAAAAAAAAAAAAGCGCCTTAAAAAGCCTTACAAGTTTGGAAAGCTTCCTTTTGTGTCATGTTTTGTGCGCTGAAATCTTCTTGAGCCTCTTTACAATGCCAAGCAAAATTTAGTTAGGCAATTGTAATAACAATGTTTGGTGCTTCTTACCCACTTGAGTGGTATACAAATAAAAAGTACTATATTAAAAGAATTGAATGGCTATGGCTTTTAAAAATCCCTTTTAATTAAGCCCCCTTTTACTATCCCAGTTTTATTTCCATCTTCCTTTCCTGCAAGTGGATGGATTTAAAAAATATTGTTACAATATTTGATTCAAGGATTGGAGCATCTCTCTTATGAGGAAAGGCTGAGAGAGCTGGGACTCTTTAGTCTGGAGAAGAGAAGGCTGAGGGGAGACCTTATCAATGCCTATAAGTACCTAAAGGGTGGGTTGAAGGAGGAGGGAGCCAGACTCATTTCAGCAGTTCCCAGTGAGAGGACGAGGGGTAACGGGCATAAACTGGACCATGGGAAGTTCCATTGAAATATAAGGAAGAACTTCTTTGGGGTGAGGGTCACAGAGCCCTGGAACAGGCTGCCCAGGGAGGTCGTGGAGTCCCCTTCTCTGGAGATTTTCAAGACCCACCTGGATGCAGTCCTGAGTGACATGCTCTAGCTCTAGGCAATCCTGCTTCGGCAGGGAAGTTGGACTAGATGATGTCTATGGTCCCTTCCAACTCTAAAAAATTCAGTGAAATTCAGTGAAATCTAATCTGTTGGGGGAGAGAAGGGGGGAAACCAACCCAGCCCAACCTTACAAACCCCACGTACCTATGGCTCGGATGTCAGGCATCCCGCTGTTAGTTATAAAACTCAAATCCTCCTTTCTTCCCCCCCCTCCTCCTCCTCTCGCCGGCGGCGGTAGCACATGTCCTTTCTCTTTTGTTTTCAGGCCGGCTGCGGGAGACCCGCCGGGAATCGCCACCCCTAAAGGAGAAGCGGGGATCGGGACCCCCCCTTCCGTAGCGCTGAGCCGGGAGCCGCCGCCGGCCCCGACCCCTCCGGAAAAGCCTTAGAAGCGACGTGTGTGTTTTTTGTTATTTTTTTTTTTTTTTAACCCAGCTGGAAGTCAACGCCTGGCGAGTAAAACTTTGCCGTTTCTCCCGGCGGTTCCCCACATGCAAGTTGCCAACGTGAGACCGGCGGCTTTTCCTATCGCTGCTCCCTGGAGCGCTAAGGGCGGGGGGGGGCTCGCCTCCCCGACCCCCTTGTTCATCCCTGGAGCTGCTCGGTGGCTTTACCTCGCCATGTGGGGCTAGGAGATAGGTAGCAGCCATTCTCCCCCCCACCTCCAGCGTGGAGCTGGTAAAGATGGAGGCGGCGGGCAAAAGCGACGGCGGGGAGCAGAGTCATCAAGGCAGCGGCGTGGAGGCCCCCGGGGACGCTTCCATGGACTGCTACTTGCGATCTCAGGGCTTGTACAGAAAGAGAGTTGCCAAGGATGGATCTTGTCTGTTCAGGGCTGTGGCCGAGCAGGTAACTGCCGACGTAAAGCTACTTCGCGGGAAAAGCATGGGAAGTGGATCTCATTAGTGGGTGGTAATTGGTGTTAAAATGCAGGCAAGTGTTAGGTTAAGGTTACACAGTCGTGTGCCAGGGGAAAAATAATAAAATTCTAACTTGGGAGGGAGGTGCTGTGTCTACAGACTTCTGTCATCAAGAAATTTTTACCTGTTTTGACCTTCCACTGCCTCCTCAGAGGGAGTTTTTTTCAGTGTAAGATTTCAATATTTGCATACAACTGTACGAGACTATTTAGGAAGCGGAATTTAGTGGAAAGACCTGAAAAGCCTTGTTCTTAGTTTTGTTAAGTAGTTTACTATAAAATTAGAGAAAGCGAGTAAATTATTTTCAGTTCCTCCTGTTAAATTCCCCTCCCCCATATCAGTGTTGCTGGTAAAGGAAAAAAGTGACAGCGTCATCTTGTCTTAAATACAAACAAACAGCAGTGGGAGCTCTGCTGCTTCTGATTGTGGAAGCCCAGATTCCTGTGCTAATTATACACAGTTCACTTTTTTTTTCTAAAAAAAAATTACTTTCCCCACTGAATTCATAGGTTTAGGCAAGTAAACACTATTGATCCAAAGTGAGGCCTTCTTTTTTTTTTTTTTTTTTAATTTCAAGGGAATAAACAGTGAATATACATTGATATTGTGGTGATTTTAATTAATACATGGAGCAGGCTTCTCCTGCGCTCCAGTGTATATAGTACTTTTTTCCAACTAATACCTGAATATTTAGCATCCCATGCTTACTTTATTAAAGGGACGGAAGGTCTTTAATTCAGAGTTAGTAGGTGTTTATACGCAAATTTGGCCTAATCTCTGTACTCTTCATGCAGAAAAACTGAGCTGATCTGAAATTGGAAGTGTTTTAAATTAAGGGTAGCGTGTAAGGATTGCAAGAGAAGCTGCAATTTAAATTGACTGGAACTTCCCTGTGCTGTAGTGAGGATGAGACAAAGTCACGTTAGAGGTAACTCTGAACCTATGATGAAAGTAATATTTTTCCAGTAGAGATTTGAACAGGAGGTAGAATGCAGGTATCTGCACTGGGATCTGAATTGGGATCTGAATTCCTGACTTCCAAATCAGTATTTGGGCAACAGACCTGCACGTCTTGAAGTGAAGATAAAGTAACCATGTGCTCTCTTAGATTTGAGTACATTTCAATTAAATGAGCACATGTTGATGGTTGATTTCCTCGTCCACTCCTGCAGTTACTCACTTCTTCAATTAATTAAGTCCCTTACAGAGGAGTGGTTAAAGAATGACGAAAAATGCGACTCCTTTCGCTTAGTAAATCCTCATAAAATTGAACATCTGAACTTAGTAAATTTGAGAGTTCTGCAGTTACTTAATTTTTGACTAAGTGATTGAGGTTTCTCCTGCATAAAGATCTTGTTATTGAATGAATATGCATTTAAATATTTTGAAAAATAAAACTAGAATATCCAAGCCTGTATTAGGACAGCAGTCGCTAGGTATTTATGACCCATCATCAAAACTCCTAAGAACCAGTGTCACTTTCTCCTCTTTCTCCCTTCGTAGGTGTTACACTCTCAGTCTCGGCATATTGATGTTAGGATGGCTTGTGTAGACTACCTTCGGAAAAATAGGGAGAAATTTGAAGCAGTAAGTATTTTTATTTCCTTTGTGAGCATTTAAAAAAATGTTACTTTATTCCTTCCACTTTTCTAAGGTATATTCTGCTGGTTTTGACAGTATTCATCATAACTATACACTAGTTCATTCTTTTTAAAGTGAGTGTGCTTTTAAATTAATTGGCAACTGGGTGATAGTAACTCATTTTCATAAGCCTGAAGAAAGACCTCCTTGGACTGGAGAGATGTGGGGTGGGAAGAGTGGGGAGGGTTTTTAATGCTCATTAAAAAACAAAACAAACTTTCTTAAACTTTAGTAGTCTGTAGTGGACCTAATAAAATCTGGATTTTAAAAATCTGGTCATAAAATGTTCTTATTGTGCTATTTAATTGCTTTTACAATATATGAGGGTTTTGACTGATGAGATCAGTGAAATTTGTTTCAGGGTTGACAATTTATTATGCATTGCCACTCTAAACATCTGTAACAAAGTTCTCCTTCATCAATCACAGACATAAAATACTTTGCTATTTCTCTATATTTGGTGAATGTCATCAGTGTTCATATTATATTATCCTTTTTTGGTTCCTTTTAAAGGAGCCATAATTGATAATGGCGCTTCTGTTTGTGTTTTTACGTGTTCTAGTGTGTATACCATTTAACTAATTTCCAGGATAGCTGAAACAGGAGCATGTGCAAGTGTTTATTAGTGAAGGATTATTACTTATCGCTCTGTTTCTGTTCCAAATTTACCTGGACCCAAAAAAAAAGGCTGCTTTAGATGCATGTTGGCATATGCAAGAGAAGGAAAGCAGGAATAAGAGTGTGTTTATTTGCTGTAATTTCTGACAAAATGTCCTATGCTCAAAAGCAACTAATCACTGTTAAAGTGGAAGTTGTCAAAAATTAATGCCATAAAATACAGTGAATCTCTCTGGGAGAATGCAGCCCTGACTTGACTCTTTCTGTTTACCAGGACTGTTTGTTTGTTTCCAGTCCATCTGAGGACATACCAACAAGATCTCTCTCAGTTCTTTCCCCACGCTCACTTTTTAATCTCTTTCTTTCTAGAATTACCCCACTCATTCCAGTATCTGCTTCTCTACTTCTGTTTTCTTGTTACATTGTGTAGTTTTTGGAAATGCCATGACCCTTCTTGAGTCTAAATGTGTTAGTCAACCCTAGCTGGTTTGACTATCTTGGTCTCTGTCCTCCAAACTCCCAGTCTCACTGTTCTTTCTTTCCTCAGGCTTGATGCAAATGATACGACCTTTCCTCTATCCATATTTGCTCCCCTTTGGAAAAGTCTCTTTTTTAAAAGTTTCTTGTCAATTTTTAGAATAGGTGTTTCATGTATAAGGTTGAGGTGTTTCATATCTGTTCTCGTTTCCTACTATTTCTATTCCCTCAGGTACCTCACTTCAGCTCTGCTGATCTCCCCCTATGTCTTACTATAATTTGTGCTTTCCTTCTGGAATATGTTGTTAACTTACCTCTCTTAAAAAAACCCAAAAAACAACAAATGCCTCTTTCGCTAATCTCTTAGTTTGACTATTAACGAATCTGCTTCCTTAGTAGTTCCACTCTCTTGAGGTGTACTGGTGGTACTTATTGAAGTTCCTCTTCTGTCTCTTGTAACCATTTCGGCTTGGATTTCTGTCTCTTTCCTTCCATTGATAATACTGTAAGCAAAGTCTCATGTGACTCTGTAACCACCATCTGTGTTTTCATCCTCAACCTTTCTTGAAGTGTTATATCTTTGATTGCTGCTGTCTTATGTTCATTCTCTTTTTTTATCTCTTTAGTTTTCTGAGGCGTTTCTGGTGCCCTTCCTTTCTTCCTCTGTGCATTAGCTTTAGATTATTTAATTTTGACACACAAACCAACTGCTGTCTGTGATCATGTTATTAGTGATCCACCTTTTAACTTCATACCTGATTGTTTCTGTCTAAATGACAAATTTTGGCCAGCTTTTTGATCTTCTCACAAACAATACTGTTCGCTTAGGTTCAAAATGGCTAAAGCAGAACTTTTAATTGGCTTGAATTCTGCTCAGTTTTCCTCAGTCCTTCGTTTCTTAATCACTGTAGATAAAGAGGCCATCCTGCTTGTAGCTTAAGTTCATAGTGGGAATCACTTCTTTGGTTGAACTTCTGTGGATCTTTATTTTGACTAAATCAAGCAGATTGTGTCTAAGTAACATTTTCTAAATACAGCCTCTCTGTTGGCCGGCAGGGCTGAAACACTTCGAAGTTAAGATACCTCAGTTACTGCAGCATCTTTCTCAGGCCTTAACAAATGTGAATTTGGCCTCTTCATGTGTGTTAAGGAGTGCAGCTGAAGGATCACTTTCTTAGCCTGGGACTTGCAGTGTAGCCTGACTGTTTGCATCCTTCCACTGAAAGTAAAAGCAGTTTGAAGTGATGCAGAAAAGAGGAAAAAGTGCTTTATGATTTGCCTATACTGTATCTTGTCGCTATTTCTGTATTTCACATACAGAAATATGACTCCCATTTCTAATTGTCCATTACTGCCTATTACTTTTAACAAGATCCTTAAATAAATGCTCTCTCCAGTGATGCCATACATGCCTGGGATGACTTTTCTTTGTTTTCTTTCAGATTTCCCATTTGGCTGCTGGATTACTTTTTGGCTCTTTTTTTTTTTTTTTTTTTAAATTTTGTTTGGTTTTGGTTTGTGTGATAACTCCAAAAGCTATTTATGTGGGTCTTTTTCTGGAATGCAGAGCTACATGTTTGACCATTTATTCCCTCATCTCTACAGGACTCTATACTTAGATTGTAAGCTCTTTGGGGTCAGGATAGTCTTAAACCTCCAATGGTACATTCCTGTTGGTACAGTCGTCATAGACTGGGGATTCTGTATGCTACACTAATAAAAGTAACTAATTATTACTCTTTTATTTATTTTTTTTAAATACAGTTCATAGAGGGGCCATTTGAAGATTATTTAAAATGTTTGGAAAATCCACAGGTATGTTAAACTTTATTTGTATTACAAAGCAGTACCTCTGTTGAAGTTGATGGGGAATTGGATAATTGTTTCCCCTCTCAAATGTTTTTGACTAAGCTTAAGAGGTCTTTGAGTATGGAAATATATACTTTTATGCACGTACTTTCTCTTGTAAAATGATTTGGGGAATTTTTTTGTCTTCATTTGAACCTGTTGTTACTCAAAAGTATATCCAAACATTTCTAGCCTCTGCAAGTGCCAAGAAACGTAGCACGGCTGGTTTTTTCTTGAAGACAGCCTTGAATAAAGGTCTAAAAGTTGAGGTGATAAAAACAGTTACTTATGTAAGGGATATGATGAACAGTAGCCACAGGCTCTTACAAAAATACTGATTTGAAGCAAAACTACTATTATTTCCCCCTTCCCCCTCACCCTCCCAATTTAATTTTAATATTTTTATTAGTGAGTTACAATTGGTGTGAGCTGGGGGGGAGCGGGAGGGAAGAGGAGACTATCTAGTACAATAATTGAAAATCTGTTAATTTTTTTAAAGTGTTTGTCCATAAATTTTATTAAATTTTCCCTTCCTAGAAATCGAAGCATGATTTTATTTATTTATTCCCCCCTGCCATGCCTACACCATCCCTACTTAGAACGGCTAACCAGATGGTTCTTTATTTTAGCTTCCAAAGTGAATGGTGGAAGGAGGGAAAAAAGTGGGTGTTAGCCTATTCTTCTTCTGCCTTGCTTTGTTTATTCCAGGATTTTTAATTGCAAAGCTTTTGTTAGTCAAATCCTGAGGCTATATGTTATGCTAAAGTGGTAAATCATGCCATTTTCCAGTAGAACTTATTCTGTACTGAACTACACCAATGTGAATGGTTTAAAACACTGCACTGTGTGTGTAGAAAATGTCTTTTTCATACGTGTCTACTAAAGTCTTTTTGAGAAATAAAACATATGGTAGCTTTATTACATGTTCATAGAAATCAATACTAAGTTATTCTATATTTGAAAGTTGTCATGAAAATTTTAAAAATTGTTAAAAGAAAAAAATTGAACTGCTACAAATTTCTGCCCCAAACTAAATTTCAGTCATTTTTAATTGAGTAAAAATTAAAAAAAAAAGAAAAAGAAAAAAGTAACAACAAGGGGAAAAAAAAAAGTAAGAAAAACTGGTGATGACATACTGGACCACAGTACAGCAGTTAGGCTGGTAATGGAGGAAAGAGCTTTTAGTTTTCTATGATTTGAGTCTGGGTTATGGTGTTACTGACATTTTCTGGTTGTAGCTGATCTCCAGGCTCAGTGGTGATAACTTTTTTTTTGACAATGATTTCTTACTTCACTTGATCTACGCAAGAGGAAGTAGAATAATTGAGTGTTTGATTTAACTTCAATTTTCTTTTGTTTTTTTTCAATACAGGAATGGGTTGGACAAGTAGAAATAAGTGCCCTTTCTCTTATGTACAAGTAAGAAAACCTTTAAATATGTTTTTATTGAAATTGGTTCAGGTGTTTTGTTAGTTAATCCGTTGGAATAGCAAAGATGGAATTGTATGTTATACTGTAGTTCTCCAGAAAATTACAAATATGCTTGGAAAATTGCAGCTGTTGAGGTATTAAATAAAAATAGAAAAGTGAGCTTTGAAACTGACATTTAATCTGGGATTTGAATACAGGTTTGCAGTAGTGTCATGCACCTTCCCTGCACAACTAATAGAGTCATTCAGTTTGTATTTTGTTAATTTTCCTACCTTAATTTTTCTGGTTTTCTGAAGTTGTAGGTACTGGCATGAGGCAGCCTGGTGTAGTGCTGTACCTTTATTCTCTTGTCTGTATAAATTTTCCTTTTTCCACTGTGTCAGTACAGACGAAATAATACGAGTTTGTCAAGGGCCATATACTTCAGAAATCTATCAATATTTGTGCATACATAAACACCCCTTATGGTGCTGAACGCTTTCGCTGATGTGCTTTTATTAAATATAATTCCTTTTATTTCTTTTTATTAAATATAATTCCTACTACTTTGTGAAGTAGTAGGAAACAATATGCTGAATATTTATAGCTGCTTTCTAATTACTGTCCAAAGGAGTAAGCAATGTCCAGCATCTTCTCTTTCTGCTGTTTGTAAACCACTTAAAAAATTTGATATTTCAAAATGCTTAGTATTTCAGAAGGCACAGTGAGAAGGTGCGGGGGTTAGATTGAGCCAGGGGGTGTAGAGGGACGCAACTCAATTTAAGTCAACAAAATTGCATGTTTGATTAAGTCAGAACTGAATGGTTGTGGTTTTTGGTTTGTTGTATTTCTAGCCACGAAAAATGTACTTTTATGAAATAGAAGCAGTTTATTTTGAAGTCATGATAATTTGGTATCCAGGATTATAGCTGATAAATGAATACAGAGGCAAATGCTGGTTGACTATATGGAGTATCTCACCGCAGAGTTGAACACACAGCCATTATTACTGCCATACTTGTTTTGGGAAGACTGGCTTCTATTAAAAAGGCAATTTAGGAGCTCTGGGAAAGCAGGAATGGTGATGGAGCCTGGTTGACTATATGGAGTATTTCACCGCTGAGTTGAACACAACACCCATTGTTACTGCCATACTTGTTTTGGGAAGACTGGCTTCTATTAAAAAGGCAATTTAGGAGGCTGGTTGACTATATGGAGTATCTCACCGCAGAGTTGAACACACAGCCATTATTACTGCCATACTTGTTTTGGGAAGACTGGCTTCTATTAAAAAGGCAATTTAGGAGCTCTGGGAAAGCAGGAATGGTGATGGAGGTAGGGGGAAGGAGTTACTTGCCTTTCGGGGTGCTGACAGACTGAAGGGGAGCAGTACTATGAATTTCTTCTTCTGTGCCAAGTGGAGAAGTGAATTTCAGACTTTTCAAGCATAAGCTAGAAACGCAGTATGAATAGGTTTGTTTTCATTTTCACTCCTCAGAACCTGTCACAAGTATAATTTGGATATCTAGTAAATTTTCACTGCCTGCCTGAGGAGGGGGTGCAGCTCTGAGCTATGAAATTCTTTTCCTCTCAGAATTGCTTTTTCTGAGTTGTTGTAGGAGGTTGTTTGGTTTTGGTTGGTTGTAGCTTTTTAAATCTACAAACTGCACCTGTGAATATACTTAATCATTTTGCAAGGCTAATAGAACTTTTGCTTGTGTGAGCAAGGAAGAAGTTGAAGGAACTGATAGGTTGCTGAGCAAAGAATTCAAAGGGCGGGTTATGGATGAAAGAGAGAGAGGGAAAATAATGAAATTAAGAATAAGACAGAGATTGATTATAGCAGAAAAACAAGTAGCAAAGATTGATAGTCTTTCAGTATTTAGAAAATAAAATCAAATTGCATGTAGCACATCATGCCAGTATCAGTTGTGGATTTTCCCAAATTTGTCACTTATACCCAGTTCAACTTTTTATGCTTTTTAATCTAACAAACTAAAAAAAGAATGAATGTAAATTCTAAATTTACTTAACTGTAGTAGCCCAACTCTTCCTTTATGGTATTTTTAGTCCTCTTAAATGTAGTGAGGTGTCCAAACTTAGTTTGCAGCGATAAAAACTTTCTAAACCTGCTTTGAAAAACTATACTAGACTGATGTGCTTGATAACGAGTATCTGCCAACACTGCAATGGCACGCTGCCTGCTGCTTCTGCTCAAGCTTCCCAAAAGGTTTGTTTCCACTCTTACAGTTGAAGAGACAACAGAGAGGTTTCTTCTCCACTTTAAATCCAACAATTTGCGTCTTAACGACTGCAACATGGTGCTAGACTCCACGCTTGATGGGATCTTTATCCAAAGAGAAAGGGAGACTGAACCTTCTGAATGTCATTTTTGCAGTGTATTATCCATTTTAAAATGTAGGAAAAGATTCTTCTCGCTACACATGGAAAAATCTGAGGCATGTGGAGGGCACAATCTTCAGAGATGCTGGAGACTTGGTTACAGTACCTGATCCTCAGGCGATGCCCGCATCTTATTCTAGTATATTCTTTTAGAAAAGCATTTTATACTCTTTTATAAAAGTATTTTTTTTGACCAGTGATAGTCGTACTCATCTTCTTCAGTATTCTTTTCCACTAGGTGTTTTCTGTGCTTATGTATGTTCCTTGAACTTGACTTGAATATTCCAATTTGTAGATGAATTCTTAGCTGCTACTTTTTTTTTTTTTTCCTCAGGAAAGATTTCATAATATACCGGGAACCAAATGCTTCTCCCTCACATGTAACTGAAAATGGCTTTTCTGATAAGGTAAAAAAAAAGTTTATGGCTATTGTGAAAGGCTGAATTTAGACTATTTTATAAGCAGCAGGTAGTTTTATGTGATTTTTATTCAACAAAACGAAATGTTCTGAGAATTCAATCTTAACTATTTATTTTGTACATATTTAAGGCAGCTATTCTGTTAATACATGTAGCACTGTTCTTTTAAATATATGATGTGTATTTGGGGTGTGGTGTATCTTCCTAGTAATCTAAAATTCTGTAAAAATAAGTTTATAAGTACTAACTCACATAGCTACGTCTTCAGTTCTTATTGACTTCTGGTCAAATTATTTTTGGCTTAAAGGACATCCACTAAACAGTTTAAAGTTTGATCATTTTATTGATACTGTGAGATCCTGAGGGATAACACAGAGCATTGATACGTTAAGTTGAATTTAAGAGGTAGTGCCCATATAAAAAATTAAGTGAGTTGCAAAACCTGAATTACCTGTGTGGTTTTTTTTAATAGGTATTGCTGTGCTTCTCAAATGGAAACCACTATGATATTGTTTATCCCATAGACTATTCGGAAAAGGCTGCTCTGTGCCAGTGTAAGTATTATGTTGCTTAGTTAAAAGCACATATTTTTACCAAAAATCTTAAAATTCAGGTTTTGGGAAAAGACTCTATATGAAAATTTGTTACAGTCATTCTTCAGTAGCTTAATTTTCCATTTGAGTTGTCAATGACTGTATGATTTTGCGAGAGCATGAATACTTACTGTGTCCTGATTCTTGACAAAGCAGATTATATACCAAGAGGAGAAGACTACTCTGCCTATTTGAGTCAAATGTAAACAGAAAATGTTGGTGTACTAATCTGTTGCCTTGTCTTTGGCCAGCATTCTGGTTTTAATGTTGTATTTCAGACTATGTTAGCAAACTAATTGCTTATGTTAAAATTATCCTTGCATGTGTGACTCGTCACAGAAATTATGGAGGTTTTATGTTCAAAAAAATAAGTGTCTTCGAGGATTAATGTTTTTTTTCTAGATTGCAGAAATGCCCAAATGTCCTAATCAGGTTTGATGGGTTACTGTGACAATCCCTACAAGGGTTCTAATTCTTCTTGAAAACCCTACCTATGTGCAGAGTTACAAGGCCAAATTTGCCTCTCAAGAGACCTAATTTCTGGTAGTTCCATGCATACCCATTAAGCCAAAGTAGTTACAGCTGGTTCTGCTTCTAATACCTTCACTATCTCATTTAACACATCAAAATGCTTGCTTTGATTGAAGTAATTTGAAATGCATCTGTAATGGTGGTATAAGATTCTGTTGGCCTTGTAATTGATTTTTACTCTTCCACTTTCTCCTCTTCTTCCCCAGCTCTGCTGTACGAGTTGCTGTATGAGAAAGTATTTGATACAGATGTAAAGAAAATCATAGCAGAACTTAGTGCTGTTGGTGCCACAGAGGAAAGTAACGGTAGCAGTGAATTATCTGCTTCAGATTCAGAAGATGACAGCTACAGGTAAATGCGATTTAAAAGTTAACGTAAGATGCCTGTGAACGATACATGTTAAATGAGTTTTCTGAATTTCTGGTGGGTAGTAGAATCTTAACAGTTAGAGTTGAAAACCTTTACAAATTAATAAGAAACACAAAGAGGGTAAGGTTAGATCTATGAAAGAATGGAATGTGTAACGTACCTAAGGACAGGGTTCTGGTTCCTCTGTTTTTCCTGCAGTTTAGCTTTGAGTCTCCTTCTGTAATGACACTGCATCACGTCCCTCTTCCTGTTTAAAATAGCAGAATCCCCTGGGATAACTGTCAGCGTGCCAGTCTGGCATGGTGAACTCCACCAGAGTGGCTTGACTCTTGCAACTGAGTAGAGTTACAGGATCTAATCCACGTTGTGTTGCTTCCGCATCTGGGGGCTGAGATGCCTGCTTGAGATGTAGCTGATGGAGAAATACAGCCGTAGCTTGCTCCATTTTGCTCCTTGATCTTTATGAAGTGATTATATTTGTGGATTTGTATTCCTTTTGCTGGACCTGGGTGCTCTAGCTAGTGTTGAGATTTTTGACCTACTGATTGCTTTTGCACAATAAGTCTTTAACAGTGCCATTTTTGCATTTACATACTGGCACTTTTTCGTCTGTTTAATACAGTTCATAAAAACTCTGGCTTGCATGAAATTTCATTGAGGCCATGGAGATCATGCTATATTAATGCATCGTGTCCTCTCTTCAAGCTGATCATCCTTAAAGTCTTCTCTGAGGGCTCTGCTGTAGTCTGTGTGACATGCAGCAGAAGAAATACTTTGTGATGTTGGGAGCTGATTTTTTTTTTTTTTCCTCAAGCTGAAAACAACAGAAAGGAAGATGGTGGAAATCATAGAAAGAAAACCAAGTTCTGGGAAAGGGATTAGCTTCTTTTCTTGTTTGGAAAAAAACCAAACCCACCCAACCTAGGGAACATTTCCAATTAAAATACAAAGTATTTCTGCCTCGGGGAACAATTATTGTAGTTAAATGTCAGTGAGTGAAAACCTTTTTAGTTCCTTTCTGTTCTTGGAGCTTTCCTGGACTTCAGATGCAGTAGCATTACCTTGCATCTTTGGGATTCATAAGAAAATATGCAGCTAACCTCCATAGCACCTTTGTAAGTGAAGGTCACCTACTCACTTGAGACTCTCAAACTCAATGGTTTTGATTTAAACCATATGTCTTATGACACAAGAGCTAGTGTGTGTGGCTCTTGACCTAGTTAACCCAACTTACAAACGCTTTGCTGGATTTATGAAGTCTTAAAGTTTTTGCTTCTCTTCAGGTTGACTTCAGCTTGTTTCATTACCTAGTTTTCCAGAAGATCTTTTTCATATTAGAAATGTGAACTTTTCAGTTATGCTGTTATTAAATGTGATTTGTTGATGTTGGTTTTAGGAGAAGTTAATGCTGACAGTTGCCTACAACTGCTGTAGGGAAAAATACTTGTTTTTTTTTCTCTGTGGAAAGTCATTTTCCAATGATGTCAGGTGTAGAGAATAAGAGTAAATTAGAGTGCTTGATGCCAGTTAACCAGTGGAATGATTTTTGGTTTTAAGTTTGTTTGTTTTAATGTCTGCTTTTGCTGTGTTTTCCTTCTGTGTCCTTTCCTTCTTTCTGCAAAAATTTTAGAGGAAATTTTTGTTTCCTTTGCCTGCCCCATTTCCCCCACTTTTTCTTTTCTTAAGTGGTGGCTAAGTCTGTACACATAAGTTATCCTTTCTGAAACTTGACCAAAAATTTTATTTTAGCTTTATATGATATAGAAATATGGTTCCTGGTTTAGACTTAGCTTTTTTATTTGAAGAGGTGAAGTTGTTCTGTGATATGCTTATTGTGGAAAAATATGTAGAGTGGTAGTTTTGATATATTTATCTGCTTCCAAAATGTTTCTTGCCTGATGTCTGGGCCTTATTAATACTGTCTTATCACAGCTCACTTCTGTCCTTTTGCAGAAGTAAGGCTACAACAGTTAGTGATATGAATGGATTGAAGTCTCTTTCTGGCAACAAGGTATTTTATATGTTAAGATTTATTTTTCTTCCTAATAACTTGTAGTCTGCTGCATTTTTCAGTGTTTAATGTCATGAGAGAATCTTGAGTTTCTAGTTTTTCTAACACATAGTATCTTAAAAGCTACTTATTTCTTTGAAAAGTAATGTTTGCTTTTGATGCACCAAAAGGTGGACAGTGTCCTTTCTAATGCTGTTTAGTTCTTAATTTTGTTCTGGTGTGATTAAAAGAACACCATGGAATTATTTCTTCAGAGCTCTTTGTTTTATGTATTTTCAGCTGCTTTATATTTCAGTTTAAAGCTTGAGCATTGTGATTGAAAACGGGAAACTTTATGTAATTGACCTTTTGGCACTTTGTTCTGTTTCATACAGCACCTTAAGAGCAATGGGAATCCCACCTTGCTGGTCTTACCTAAAAAAGTTCTTAAATCACTCAATCCATTGGTTTACAGAAATGTTGAATACGATGTCTGGCTCCAATCCAAATGGGGTAAGTAACCAAATACTTAAAAGTTCCAGCTTTTGCAAGCTGATATATAAAGTGAAGCCTTCTTGAAGAACAGTGATGCCAATGTCAGTTTGGGTTTAGGGAGTGGTGTTCTTCACACGGGTCAGTGTGCAGATTTAGGGCCTGACCTTCTGGTTTGCATTTTTACTGCACCAAGAAAGTAACTCTTCTGGTGTATTTAAACTAACAGTGTATTACTGCTCATGTGTTTACAGATCAGCAAAAACAAGATTTTTCTATTGCTGCTGGCATGCAATACTCAGTTGGAGATAAATGTAAAGTAAGTAGCGTTGACTTATAGAGACATTTATGTTTTGTCTTGCTCAAGATACCAATTTTCCCTCTTTGTTAACTACTTCTATATAAAATTGCTACTTTCTGAATATTCTTTGCTTGTGTCTTCAACTGTGCGTATGCTCATTATTTAACTCTTGGCAGTGTTCATGACGTACAGCGTATGTGGAGAAAAGGCATGTAATAGAACATCTGACCAGTGCAAAAAGTGGCAAAGTTAGCTTCAAAAATATATTTTAATGACAGTGGACCTTAACGTTAAGTATGCAAATAAGTTTGTGCAGGCTTGTCTGATGGCAAGTCTTTTGCTCGGTGTTGTAGAGCGCTAATCTCTGCGTGAGAAGCAGGTGTATTTCGGGCAGTTTACTCGGTTCAGGGTAAGCTCTGTTCTTCTCTCAGTGGGCTCCATAAGCCAGTTAGTTATTCCTGTGATGTGCAAAAGTGTAGGGTAAGGCTGTTTTTTATAAAACTAACAATTATCTCCACTGCATCTTTTGCCGATGGCTGCGTTTGCTTCATCGTACTGCTGCAGGATGAAAGTGTTGGTGTGCATGCAGTTGTACAATGAAGAGTGACATTTCAGTGTTTGCTGTCATATAAAAAACCAACATCACAGTTTCATGTATTTATGTTCAGCTTTGGAGATAATGATTACATAAATTGGCTTTGTTCTAATCTCATAACTTTCAAGTAATGGAATACAGCTCAGTGTAGTTACTGCAGATCCTGAAGATCTGAAGTTTTGGGTGGTTCTTCCTCTTGAAGTATTTAAAGTGTTGCACAATTCCTCTTTAAATTCTATTAAAATTCATAGTGTAAATTGTTGCTTAGTAAGAAGTAAGATTTGCCATCAAATTCTGTCTTACTCAGATTTTAGATTAATCTCCTTAGGTGTGTTAAGTAAACTGATGGTACTTGGCTAAATATAGTTCTTTCTAGGATATTTGACCATCTATTTAAATTATTAATACTGTCCTGCAGCATGGAGGCTCTTTCAGTTTGTACTTTTTTTTGTGTAATGGATTTAAGTATAGTAAATAAATTGCAGGGAAAACACATCTATAAACTTTAAAAAAAAATAAACAAAAAAACCAAACCAAAACAAAGAAGACTCCCAGAAATCCTCAGAACTCCCCACAAAACAAACAAAAAAACCCTAATGTGGACTCCCAGAAATCCTCAAAACTCTACACAAAACAAACAAAAAAACCCTAATGTGGAGTTGATTACTTATTGCTTAATAGTACAGGCTTAAATATATATAAGATATATATAAGACTCTTGTGTAGTATGTACTAAAGGGCACAGATATTATTAGTAAAAAACCCTCTGGCAATTAACTCTCTGTCAAATGTTATATGTATGTGGCAAGGTGGTAAATAAATGGGAAGGGAAGGTGAAGTAAATAGTGAAAAGTGGAGTTGACCAAATTAATACAACTGGAAAGCCAAATGTAGTAGAACTTTGAGATTTATTTTATATTTAACAGAAAAATTTTAAGAAGGTGGAATATCAGTCAGACAAGTAACACTGATCATGTCTGAGTAACTTTTTGTTTGTTTGTTTTTAAAAAAAATCTTCTGAAGGATAACTTCAGAAATAATTGGTGTTCTTTATGGTCGTAATTAAATTTCACTGAAGTTAGCAATGGCTTTTTCTTTTCTTTATGTGGATTTTAACAAGGAAGAGCTTTGGATTTTATTCTAAGAGGAAGTGTTTTCAGTAAATCTGGACAGTGTCTTGATACACTGATTCCTTTAACTTTCTCATGTAGTTTTGAAAGCCATGTTTCATTAAGTAGTGTTACCAGCAAGCTTTCTGTTGTTTTTTTTTTTTAAATAGTATTTTAATTTCTTTGAAGAATCGATATGGATTGAATATTGTTGCCCAGAGGAAAAGTTCTGTTCTTAACATTGCTGATATTTTAAAGAGTTACGCCTCTTGTTGTCTTCTTTGAAGCTAATGCAGCTTTTTTGTTTTCTTCCTCCTTTTTCCTTATAGGTGCGCTTAGACCATAATGGGAAATTTTATAACGCCCATATTCAAGAAGTCTGTTCAGAAAATGGGCCAGTTGTTGTATTTGTAGAAGAGCTTGGAGCAAAGTAAGTACTTAATCTCTTTTGGAAAAGGGTGCCAAACTGAACCTTGGTAACTGCAGCATTACTTTAGTTCAGAGTCAATTTCAGCCCCTGAAGCGTATCTTATTTCTTTACTTGAACCAGTACCACTATAAAATTGTTAGGAAAACAACAGATTAAGCTTAAAAAAAGGAAAGAGGGGTTCTGCATTAATTGTCACTTCAGACTTTTTTCTTTAGTGCAAAATAGTCTGGATATTGCTTGCAGAGTAAAACAGTAGCTACATTAGTATTAGAACTTTTTTTTTTTTGCACAAGATTCAATCCTAAACAGATTGACAGCATCCTAATTAAGTGTTGCTTGTTGTGTGCAGTGATTAAATGCTCAATTTGTGTCAAGCTTTTCATGTTAAAAGCCCAACAAAGCACATGGCTTCTGTTTATTGAGTACCTGGGCCTGATTTCATACTGAGAGTGCCAAGTTGCTGGTTAGATCAGTGTCATCTTTCCCCTACCTTGGGATAAGTGTTTAAAGTCATTGTTGTGGGTTGTGGGTTTTTTTTCCTGTGTTGGGTGGTTTGCTATTTTTATTGTTGGTTTTTTTCTGGGGGATGATGGGGGTGGTTTTAGTTTTTTGGGGGGGAGGGTTAGTTGATTTTGGTGGGGTGTTTGGGGTTTTTTTTGAGGGGATGCAGGTTGAGAATCTTTTTGAGCTCTACTAATTCTTCTGGAGCAAAAACCCCCACATTTTAGTATAGTTCAGTAAGAGGTAATTTACCTTCACTTTCAGTCATGGTAAGTGAGGAAAGGAGAAGGATGCCCATTGATCTCATGTAGTCTCCTGTTTTAAAAAAAAAAAAAAAAAACAAACAAAAAGCACCAAACCAACCTCCCCCAACAAAGCAACTACCACTATCAGGGGGAAGGTAAAAAAAAAAAAAAAAAGTGATATTTGAAGATTGTTCCACAAATTGTTCCCTTTTTAAGTTAAGACTTAACCTGATTTGAACTGTCTTACAGATTTTAATATCTTCCTTTCAAATAATGACAATAGGTTCTTGGACATCCTTACAGGATCCTCAGTGAGATTTGAAGATTGTTCCACAATTTGTTCCCTTTTTAAATTGAGACTTAACCTGACTTGAACTGTCTTAGAGATTTTAATGTCTTCCTTTCAAATAATGACAACAGGTTCTTGGACATCCTTACAGGATCCTCAGTTAAAAATGCAGTAATTGCTCTGGGATATAAACCACAAATATAATGTTTTTCAATCTTGATATCTGTTACAGTGTTTATGATAAGTGTATCTGTTGAGTACATTGCTTTTTCTGATCATTCTCCTTTTCTGTCTGCCCTGAAGACATTATAATACTCACTTCATAAATAGCTGATTGTTCTTTACTGGCTAAGTTTGTATTGACTTTATCAGAGTTTTATTTAAAAAAAAAAGTTAGGTTTGTTCTTCTACACATTGTTTGAGTTCACTATAAAGGGCAAAGGACTTTGATGGACCTTTCAATTTTTGAGAACAGTCTTAGTAAACGTGTGATATTAATTTATCCAAGCCCCAGTCTGGTCTCAAAGATATTTTTCCCTTCCTAATTCCTTGTTTTTCAGGCATGCTGTCAAAAAAAAAAAAAAAAAGTGATATTTGAAGATTGTTCCACAAATTGTTCCCTTTTTAAGTTAAGACTTAACCTGATTTGAACTGTCTTACAGATTTTAATATCTTCCTTTCAAATAATGACAATAGGTTCTTGGACATCCTTACAGGATCCTCAGTTAAAAATGCAGTAATTGCTCTGGGATATAAACACAAATATAATGTTTTTCAATCTTGATATCTGTTACAGTGTTTATGATAAGTGTATCTGTTGAGTACATTGCTTTTTCTGATCATTCTCCTTTTCTGTCTGCCCTGAAGACATTATAATACTCACTTCATAAATAGCTGATTGTTCTTTACTGGCTAAGTTTGTATTGACTTTATCAGAGTTTTATTTAAAAAAAAAAGTTAGGTTTGTTCTTCTACACATTGTTTGAGTTCACTATAAAGGGCAAAGGACTTTGATGGACCTTTCAATTTTTGAGAACAGTCTTAGTAAACGTGTGATATTAATTTATCCAAGCCCCAGTCTGGTCTCAAAGATATTTTTCCCTTCCTAATTCCTTGTTTTTCAGGCATGCTGTCTCACTGAAGAGCCTTAAACCTCTTCCACAGACCTCTCCTATGGAGGGCTGGAACACTGTGCCAGGGAAGAAGACAAAAAAGTTTTTCCCAACATGGGGGCAGAATGCTCAGCCCGGTAGGATTGTACCTGTCTTTCTGTGGCAGAATCTTTATTGTCAGGTGTTTTGTCCCAAAGAACTCAAAAAAAATATTAAAAAATATCTCTGTTTTCACATCTTTATCCCAGATGCAGATTGCAGAGGGCCAAAGAATCAGAGCAAGTCAATAAAACCCCAGTCAGCACTACCTCCTCGGCTTCAGCATACTGTGGGAACCAGACAGCATCAGTTCTTATGTTCTGGACCCCAACCTCATCAGACCTCAACTGAGCAAAAAGCTCCGGGCAGGAATTCTTCCCAAACTGTGAGGTAAAACTAAAAATAACATCTTCGTTATCTTGAGCTCCAGCTGAGCTTCTTGGAGCCCAGGTGCTTGCTTCAGATTATTTCAAGATGCTCTTTTGAAATATGTTGCCATTGACTATTTAAGAAGTATTCTAAGTCTTTAAGAATACACACAAGCACAGGGAAAACAATTCTTTTTTCTTTTTTTTTTTAATGAAAACCCTTTTTCAAAATTGCTGCCATCATGAGCTTCCTTTTTTTTTTTTTTTTTTCTTGCATGGCAGCACCTCCCCTGGAAGCACTGAACACAGAACTGCAGTTTCTTCTTGGAAATTGGATGTTGTTGGTTTTTTTTTTTTTCCTGTTTGTGGCTGAAGTAATGTTTCCTGCAGTGCTTCTTGGGCATGGCTGAGATCTTCCCTCAGCTTCTGCAGAACCTCTCATAGAGGATTGCTTCATATTATGGATGATCACTTGAAGGAATTATGAGAACGACATTTTGCCTGCATTTGTTGGAAGTGATTTTCTGATTGATTGTGCTGCTGCAACAGAATTCCTGCTTTCACCATCACCACTCTTCTTCTGTCCTATCTAGGAGACTATTCTGTATTGGATACAAACCCAGATATCTAGAATCATAGAATAGTTTGGGTTGGGACCTTAAAGATCATTTGGTTCCAACCCCCCTGCCCTGGGCAGGGACACCTCCCACCAGACCAGGTTGCTCCAAGCCCCATCCAGCCTGGCCTTGAACCCCTCCAGGGATGGGGCAGCCACAGCTTCTCTGGGCAACCTGTTCCAGTGCCTCACCACCCTCACAGTAGAGAATTTCTCTCTGGTGTCCAATCTGAATCTCCCCTCTTTCAGTTTAAAACTGTTACCCCTTGTCCTATCTCCCCACTCCCTGACAAAGAGTCCCTCCCCAGCTCTCCTGTAGCTCCTTTCAGATATTGGAAGGCTGCTCTAAGGTCTCCCCAGAGCCTTCTCTTCTCCAGGCTGAACACCCCCAGCTCCCTCAGCCTGTCTTCATAGCAGAGGTGCTCCAGCCCTCTGATCGTCTTTGTAGCCCTCTGCTGAACTTGTTCCAACAAGTCTGTGTCCTTCTTATGTTGGTGGCCCCAGAGCTGGACACAGTACTCCAGGTGGGGTCTCACCAGAGCAAAGTAGAGGGGCAGAAGCACCTTCCTTGACCTTCTGGCCACATTTCTTCTGATGCAGCCCAGGGTGCTGTTGGCTTTCTGGGCTGTGGGCATACGTTGCTGGCGAGCCTCAGAGCTGGACACAGTACTCCAGGTGGGGTCTCACCAGAGCAAAATAGAGGGGCAAAATCACCTTCCTTGACCTTCTGGCCACATTTCTTCTGATGCAGCCCAGGGTGCTGTTGGCTTTCTGGGCTGTGGGCATACGTTGCTGGCTCCTGTTGAGCTTCTCATCAGCCAATGCTCCCAAGTCCTCCTCAGGGCTGCTCTCTTCATGGTCTATTCTGTCACTCTTCTGGATTCCACTCCTTGTGGAATAAATAGAGCTGGGTTGGCTCGAGTCTGCCACGTGCAACATTTTAAGGGCATTTTTCTTCCCCCTTTAACCTAAATACATGAGTGTTCTAAAAAGTTAATTCATAAAGCTGATACAGTGATGTTGATTTTGTGTAGCATTGTCTCAGATGTTGAAAACCATCATGTGTTTTCCTTTTTGTTGTTGTATTGACAGAAATCTTACTTCTCCAACTTTCTGTTGTGTGTCCATAGACAGCAGATGGGGGGTGCTCAGTTCTCAGTTGGCACAGAAATGGATAAGATCACTTGATGCAGGGATTTGTTTTTTAACTATGATCTAATAATTACCATCTGATATAAAGTCTTTCAAAATTGTATTGAGCTGAATAAATCATGGACAAAAACCATTCTTTTCTTAATTTTTATGCATGTGGGTAACTTGCAGTAAGCAGAAAGGGATCTGGGATATATGGAAACATATAAGCAGTGGTACAGAATTACTTCTTTTCTTCCTTTTTAAACCATGAGTTTGTATTGTGTTTGATACTGGTGATAATTGAATTTCCTTGTCAAAGTGGTCTCGTTTCATTTTTTTAAATTTTTTTTTCCTTTCCAGGAAACCAGACTGGGAGAGAACTGAGGATCTGAACCACGGCAGCAGAGATTGTAACTACTTTGGCCTGTCCCCAGAGGAACGCAGGGAGAAACAGGCCATAGAAGAATCTCGTTCGCTTTATGAGATCCAACAGAGGGATGAACAAGCTTTTCCTGCTCTTTCCAATGTAGGCTTTTTTTCATTGTAATTAATAGTACATTTTCCATACTTGTCCATGAATCTTTAATTAGCAATCGTCACTTTGCTGTCAGACCATTGCAATACAATTGAAAAGTTAAGGGTATTTTCTTCACGCTCCCTTTCTACATAGAAATATGTGAATCTACAATGCTTTATGTATTCAATAAAAGACACATACATAGTAGTTTCCCCCAGGACTAATTAATGTCCATAATGACAGTTCTTTAGGCATGTCAATATGGTAGATACAGGAGGTTATGAAGCTGTGGGCTTCCTTCTTCATGGTTCTCCAGTGGATTGGAGTCTCAGTAGATCCAGGGAGCGAGCAGATCCTGAGGGTAAAGAGCCACAGTCTAGCAGCAAACAGCTTTTTGGATTTAAATCCTAGGGCAAACAGAAACAAGACCCAGGCTGGGAGGAACGAGGAGGTGAAAGATGGACTTTAAGTCTCTTTGTGGAAGTGCCTTCCTGCGCTGTACCTTTCAGTTCTTGAGCAGTAATTACTTATATTGATGTAATTGAGAAGAAATGTACAGCACTTCTGCACTCCAAAGAGCAGACCAAGGCCAAAGTCTCATGGACAGAGGTTGCTTCCTCTCTGTGAGCTGTGTTTGCTCACCTGCAGAAGGAAGCTGTCATTTTTAAAGTGGATATTGTCGGAGTGAAGCGGTTTTTGTTTGTCATGTAAACTAATGACATGAATGCTTTTCAAGGACACTTTGCATAATTTAGCAATGGATGAATCTGAGTGATACTGATCAAGGTTGCTCTCTATTTTTTTTTTCTCTCCCCACCTCTCTGCTTATCCCAGAGATAAGTATTATGTGTCATGAAGGCATAATAGTATTGTATCAGCTGATGGCAAAGCGTCACTGGACTTCTTATATAAATTCATATTTCTGCTTTTGTAAACTTCTTTAGACCCAGTCAGTCTGTCAGGCTGCTACGCAGACCGGGGATAATTTAAACCAGAAAAAGTTCTCAAACAATGAGAGAAGAAACAGCAAGTGGACAGCAGAGGTGGAAGAGCAGAAGGATAAAGGTAAAAATAAATTTTTTTAGATCAAGGCGCTTTTTTTGTTGTTGTTGGCTTGTTTTTATTACCAGCCTCAGAATTTATTCAAGGTGGGACATCTGTTTAGGCAATGAGGGGAAAATTATCATTAGTAATAGTGTCAAACTGAGCTGGGCTCAAGGTAGCAAAGGTGTGGTTGGGGAAGAAAGTACATTTTCCTGCTTTGTGAATGTTGCTGAGAGATCAGGCTCCTTGCTGGGGTTTTGGAAGTAAATGGGAAGAGGAATGAGAGAAACAAAAAGACTGTCAGAGCTACCCTAAATTAGATCTTGTTGAAATTCTAGTGAGTGTGGGAGACGGTGCCAGTGGGAGGAGTGTTAAGAGTGCTTACTGGAGTCAGTGAAGTAAAAGTATTCCATGCAGCATGGTTCAGAATTAGTGGTACAGGAAAATAAATACAGTGGTACAGAGAGAGGGGTGAAGCTGGTGTACAGAGGAGTTGAAAAAACCCAAACACCTCTGTTTACAGCAGAAAGAGCTGTACATGGTCAACATTTGTTTGGGTTTTCTCCCTTTCCCCCCAGTCTGTTATAACAATCTTTAGCTTCTTTTCATTGACACTAAGCTTTTCTTCTCCTGTGAGAAAATGGAACGTGCCAGTAACAGATGAAAGCTGTAGCTGTCAGGTGGTAGTTAGTAAATCTTTGCTAAATGCAACTGATAATATTTTTTTAAAATTATTTTATTTTTTGTCCTATCAGCTTTGCAATAACTAAAGGCCAAATTTGGTCTTGGCTTCTTCCACTTTTTTTTTTTTTTCCCCCAACTAAATAAAATTCAAACTCTGTAGCCTCCTCTTAGAAGCTGTTCCTTCCCTCCATTTTTTTTTTATTGTTGTTGTTGTTCCCTTGTCTCTGGTAATAGCAGAGGCACAATATCTTGTACCATATTATTTATGGTACTTGTGCTCCTTAGTCCCTCTTACAACATGTTAAGTCTCACGGGGACTGATGTTTCCATTTTTTTTTTATTGTTGTTGTTGTTCCCTTGTCTCTGGTAATAGCAGAGGCACAATATCTTGTACCATATTATTTATGGTACTTGTGCTCCTTAGTCCCTCTTACAACATGTTAAGTCTCACGGGGACTGATGTTACCTATTTTTCATTCTCCAAAAATCTGAAAACTTGTTTCATCAGCAATGTCAGAAACAATGCCCAGGAAGAGAAAGCTCTTTATTACAATGTCATGATAGATTTTGCTGAAGTGCATGTACAGCTTTCTCTGGGTTGTTTTTTTTGTGACTCTCTGGATTGCATTGCCTCTGGATTGCATTGACTCTCCTGAAACTAGGTTTAAAATAGTATGGGCATAAATTGTACTTCTTTCTGAATATTTAGAGATTCCTATTGATGCTTATAATCAATATTATTTGAATTTACATTGTTGAGTGTGATGGTGCATGTAACTAAGCTTAAAAAAAGTACATATCTATTTAGCTGCTACTATTAAACTTTTATGTGCGTGAACTTAATTGACAAGCAGTAGTAGCCAGATTTGAACATAAGCTAGAATGTGAAGAACTTGTACAAATCTTAATATATGAAAGTTATGCCATGACTGTTTTTCAGCACCGTCTCCCCCACAAAGTGTTTTCTAGTGCTTGAGAAATTCAACTTTCTGCATCAGTATGAAAACTTTCTAGATTTGTTGAACCACTGAAGCCTTCTACACTCATCTGTCTTAATCTGTTATAAGTAGACAAGACTAAGCTTCTCTTAACACTTGAATATGGAAATGCAGATCAAAACATTCTCACTTTAAGCAAAGTACAAACTTAATTTTTTTTTTCACTGGGAGGGATTTAGGGTGAATGATACGTGTTTAAAGAGACGGCTACATTTCTGTCCTGCTTCCCTCACACATCACCAAAATGGTGACCAAACACCAGTAAAGAACTCCTGTAGAGCTTTGAAAACCCGGGTTGAAGAAGGTTGTGTTACTGCCCTAACTACTGTTTGTTTTAGGATGCTTTGATCTTTGATAAAAATTGAAGTTTTAAGTTTTCTGAACTTATATTTGCTGAGGTAGGCTTTGTTTTGAAGATTTAACTTTGGAAAGACAAACTTTAACTGGCTTAAGTTATGATAGCCATAAGTGGTGTAATGGTTCATTTACTAGGTTATGTCTTGGTGTTACAGAGTCAAATTCCAGGCAGATCCACTTAAGTCAGAAGCTTGATCCAAATTCATCTGAGGTAATCTTAAAGAAAAGACCAAATTTTTTTTTTTAAATGTTATTGCTTCTCTGATACATGATTAGCAGAGCACTAGCTGCCTTTAGAGCTGTGGCTGCTGCTGCTTTACAGCTTGTAGTGAAACACTTCTAAGGCTGGAGGCTTGTGTTGCTGTCAGCTTTCCTGTAACTCGTACTTAACAGTCTTTCTCTGCAATCTGAGTTCTCAAATCTGGGCTGTAGAGAACACTTATTAATCTGGATTTGTAATTGCTTAGTACAGTCTGTACTTGCAGTATGTTGGGACTACAGAAGATTTGATATTTACTAATAGCTGCTGTGCTAGCAGACCACCATCTCTGAAGTTCAGCGAAGATTTGTGGCCTCTTGTTGGCTTTTAACCTTTGCTGTCCTTTGAATGAGCAAAATGTTACACTAGTATAACAGTGATTGGGTGCTTAGCCCACTTTGTATGTAGTGTGGTTTAGTATCTTTGAATGCCTCTTTGAAAAGTAAATCTCACCGTTGGACTAGCCATGTCTGTTGTTTCTAACTTTGCTTTAGAAGAATAGTCAAGATGAGAGTTATCCAAAAGCTTCATCTCCTTTGGAACAAGTAAAAACAGATTCTCCAGTTCTTGCTGAGCAAGTAAGAAATGTTTGTTTGATTTCAAAGTTTTCCGGTCAGGAGACTTCAGACAAAGGGGAGCTTCATCACAGCCACGTATGTATTAGAATACTGGCTTTTAATTAC